TAAGTGTGATGCTATCCCACCTCTTATGCTTGAAGATGACCAGACAAACATGGCTGAGGATAACTTGACTAAGGCTGAGGCTTTGTCCAAGCACTTTAGTCAAGTATTCTCTGATAATATTGATACCAGCTTTGTAACTTTTCCAGGAGGTAACTTTAAAATGGCACCCTTATACATTGGAAGGGACACTGTCCTAAAGTGGCTTCTAAGGCTCAATCCTGGTAAGTCCAGTGGCCCTGATGAACTCCACCCACGTATATTAACAGCATTGGCTGAAAACATAGCCGAGCCATTGTCGGTAATCTTCAATATGTCTCTGGACCAGTCTAAATGTCCAAGAGACTGGAAAGATGCCATCATTAGTCCGGTCTTCAAAACCGGATCTAGAAACTTAGTTCAGAACTATCGTCCTGTTAGTTTGACCAGTATTGTTGTTAAACTACTAGAAAGAATAATTCGTGATGCTATCATTCAGTTCATTGAAGGGAACAAACTTTTCGCTGTGGAACAGCATGGTTTTAGAGCAGGTCATTCTTGCTTGACCAACCTTCTTTTGGCCAGAGAAAGTTGGGCAAGCTCAGCTGATGCTACTATACCGGTGGATGCCATATTCATCGACCTTAGCAAGGCGTTTGACAGGGTTTCTCACTCAGGTCTTCTAGTAAAGTTAGGTAGTCTTGGAATCACTGAAGTGATTGCCGACTGGATTCAAGACTTTCTAAAGGACAGAAGACAAAGAATACGAGTTAACGGAGTTTTATCAACATGGGAATCGGTTAAGAGTGGCGTTCCTCAGGGTACAATTCTAGGCCCACTTCTCTTCCTGATTTATGTTAATGAGATTCCGTTGGTAGTTAAGTCATCCTGCTTACTGTTTGCTGATGACATCAAGATATGGAGGGCTTTACACGATGACAGTGATCAACTTGCTTTGCAGGAAGATTTAAACTTGTTAAGTGATTTGTGTAAGCACTGGGCCTTGGAGACTAACTTAAGCAAGAGTGTAGTTATGCATGTATCTCATAGTCACGTGCACAGTTACTCAATGAATGGCATTGCTCTCCCAGTGGTCACTGAGTACAAGGACTTGGGAGTGGTTGTGCAGCATGACTTGAAAACAGCAACAAACTGTAGAGCTGCAGCCACTAAGGGTTTTCGAATATTATGGGCCATACGCAAAGCTTTTGCGAATTTTGACGCTGAAATATTTCGTATATTATATCCGACTTATATCAGACCTCATTTGGAATATGGGATCCAGGCAGCGAGCCCGTGTTTCAAATACGAAATAGACTTATTAGAAAGGGTGCAAAGAGTAGGAACTGAGCTAATAAAGGGTTTCTCAACCCTCTCATATGAAGAGAGGTTAAGTCGACTGGGTTTATTTCCACTGCCATACAGACGACTTAGGGGTGACCTAATACTAGCATACCGTATCATAAGAAATGATTTTGGAGCAAATTTATCTAATTTATTTCTTCCTTTTAGCACCAACCAATTGTGAGGACATCACCTCAAGGTTCAAAAACCACTGTCGAATCGTCTGCGTTTGGAGATCCGTTTTTCGCATCGGATTGTGAACCATTGGAACTCCCTACCGGAATACGTCGTATCAGCGCCATCCGTTGATTCATTCAAGTAGTTTGAGACAGTGGGAAGTACCAAACACAGGCTCGGTGAGGAAGAAATGGTTGAATAAAATTCGCCGGATAGGAAGATCAGGTTCCCCAAACGAATTATTCACAAAAGTGGATATTTCCTGTTAGAGAGGAAAATGCACGTCGTATTCAAGGAGCACTTGTTTTGCGAAAATTACTAAGATACCTTTCTGAGTCATTATTATCATAGGAAAATATCTTTATTTGACAAGCCTAAGGCGAACTACACAGATAAATTTCCTTTAAACAAATCACTTACGTCGACAAACAGCTCAGATGTGTCCATGCAATCGACCCTCCCCTCATTGAGCTCCCTGACTCCATATGGTGCCATTTCACCGTTGGGTACTGTAAGTATCTAGTGGGCAGCATTTACAGATCACCTTCATGTAGAGCAGACCACAACCAGGTACTGCTTAATGCAATTTCAGCGACACAAAACATGGGTTATGATCAAATTGTCATATCTGGAGAATTCAATGCCCCATCTGTTAACTTGATGACGAGATATGCCCAGGATAGATTTGATCGAAATCTGCTGCACACCATCAGGGAGGCCGAATTCACTGAAAATGTCAGAATGGATACTGGATGGGGCCCAGATGGGAAGTCTTCTAGCCTGGATCATGTGCTCACGAGTGACCAGCTACTAGTGGAAAACGTTCAGATCACGACTCCCATAGGTAGTAGTGACCACTCGGTCATAACATTCGACATAGTCCTCCGCGAGCGTTTACAGTGGGACAATACACAGCCCTATCTGTGTTATAACAAAGCCAATTACACCGAAATGCGAAGACTTTTGTCTGAAGCAAATTGGCCAAAAAATTGGACAGAGCTTACAGTAGAAGAACACTGGGGAGTGGTAAAGGAGATCATTCACCAGGTGGTCTCAGACACTGTTCCTTTAGTCACACCTAAAGCTAGAAAGCAACGTTCATGGCTAAAAAGGGGGACACAACGCCTTCTAGAGGCGAAGCGAAAAGCCTGGTTAGCGTGGCTAGTATCGAAGAGTCAACCCGAACATGAAGTGTACCTCGAACTCAGGAATCGATGTAACATACGAGTCCGGAGTGATAGAAGGACATTTCAAAGAAACCTCGCCAATAAGCTTCTCGTGAACCCCAAAAGCCTATACAGGTTTATGTCTGAAAGAAAACCGACCAACCAGGGAGCTTGCAGTCTAGTGGGTTCTGATGGGAAATCTCTTACTAGTCTTGAAATGGCAGAGACATTCAGTCTAGCCTTTCACAGGCAACTGAACAGTAATGAGGATTTTACCCCCACAAAACATCAAGATTACAATGCAAAACCGACGTGCGAAAACCTGCTGGGTACATTTCAAATTACCCGTAAAATTGGGAAAGTTGGCTTCGGGAAAGTCTGCAGGTTGCGATGACATAAGACCATCCATCCTGAAGCAGTGTTCAGAAAGTCTCTGCCAAACCCTAAGTGACCTGTTTCAACACTCCTTTTATGTAGGGAAACTTCCATGTGAATGGAAACGAGCCATCCTATCCCCTATCTTCAAGGGTGGTGACCGGCAGAACGCGACCAGTTACAGACCAGTTGCGCTACTCCCAGTGATATCGAAGATATTGGAAAGTCTCATTGATGACCACATGAGAAAATACTTCGACGGGACTAACCTACTCCATGAAGCACAGCACGGTTTCAGGAGGGGAAGATCCCGTGTGACGAATCTTCTACTTGCTTGGAACGATTGGACACTATCCTGGGATGCAAAGGTACCAGTCCATGTGATCTTTCTCGACTTTGCGAAAGCATTCGACACAGTTCACCATGGTCTGCTCCTTCACAAAATAAGCAAAGCGGGTGTTTCTGGAGCACTTCTCGCATGGCTGGAAGATTATTTAGGCGAGAGAGAATTCTGCACCAAAGTCAACCGCACCCGATCATCCTGGCACACCTCGGCATCAGGGATTCCTCAGGGTTCTATCTTAGGGCCGTTGATGTTTTTGATTTTTATCAACGACCTGCGCTGTCAACTGAATTGCTCTGCGCTTCTTTACGCTGACGACGTAAATATTTGGAGAGCAATAAACTCATCGGAAGACTCCGACAGATTGCAGGCTGACCTGCAAACTCTGGGAGACTGGGCCCTGGCTAACGGAATGCCTTTCAACTTAAAGAAGTGCAAAGTAGTGCAACTTCATTCAGGCAGGTCACAGTGTGCAAATTACACCCTTGGTTGCCAGAACTTGAGTTGTGTGCCATCAGAACGCGACCTAGGCCTTATTTTAACAGAAAAGCTAGACACCAGTGTAAATTACACGAGGGACGTCGTCAAAGCTTCCGCAACTTTACACTTTATGCATAGGCAGCTGGGAGCTCTTACTCATGAACTATTCTTAAGGTTGTATACGACATACGTGAGGTCACTCCTAGAGGTGCATAATATCATTGCTCCTCCGCTACTCAAAAGGGATGCTAACATTCTGGAAAGTGTCCAGAGACGAGCGACAAAATGGGTGATCGGCCTCCGCAACAAATCATATTAGGAAAGACTGAAGAAATTAAGTCTTTTCACACTTAGTTACCGTAGTCACAGGGGAGACCTCATCACCGTCTATAAGATCTTAAATTACCAGGCCCACCCTTATAAAATCATCCTGCCATTAAGTGATTATAGGCTTCCACGAGGTAACCCGCTAAGGATAGCACACCAGAGACCAAAGACTCGAGTGCGTTCACATTTCTTCTCGCTTCGAGTTTGCCGCCTCTGGAACGCTTTACCGGCGGCCGTAACTACAGCTCCATCTGTGGAGACTTTTAAGCGGAAGCTGGACAATCATGCAGAAATGCATGGTTTGTGTCTCAATGGCTTATCCTCTTAAAATTTGAAACCACACTGTCAATGGATAAGCATACAAGCTAAATCCCCACGACCCGTCCTGTCTTCTCCCACTGTACCGACTACTCCATCTTTTCTTCCTTTCTTTCTTTATTTCACCTTTATTATTTCACTTATCTCAACCTATATTATCTACACTACAACCTATTATTATTCTACTTTTATGACTACACCGAATGACCAACGGGTGTTAGGTCAAACTCCATTCACGGCAGCAGCTGAGTCCTAACATACTGCACAATACAAACCACAATCTTGACCAATCCTCGCACCACTCCTCTTGGAGTCTACCAGAGCTAAAGCAGTCGAGTGGCGGGATTTACTACGCATAAGTTCACCGAAGATCTGGAACCTCTACGCTACAATCAAGAAGCGAGCTCAAAGAAATCGCTGGTTTATACTAGCTCGTAATCAGGTTATTGGATATTGGAAATTGTTTGAATCAATTGATCGCATCAATTGCGTAGTAGCGATCGTCTAACTTTTTGAAATTTCAAGGTCACTTATCCTATCTGTTTATTTTGACTTTTGTCAGAGTAATTCCTGTAACTTGAGTAGTGAATTTTTTTCAGATAATGCCGAATTAGTACACTTCTGAAGTTTTACTGATTATGTTAATCAAAGTGATGTAATCAGTGAATTTGTGTTCTTGCTAGCATTATTAGCTGTTATAGACAGTATAAACCGTTTTTAACGACCAATATCTGTTAATGTTTCCCAGACATAAATTATATGAATGGTTAATTTTTGAAAGTGAACTGTTTGAGTTAAATGAAGAGTTTTCTGACTTCTGAGATGTTTCTAAGACATTTATCCCAGCTGGCATTGACTTCGATGGCTATGGAGAATGTTTGGGGGGGGGGAGACTTCAGATCACTGTTGCACACTCTGCAGTGCACTCAAGGTGCTTTGCCCCAAAGACTCTGCAGAGAGCCTGAAAAAACTGCTGGCTGGACAGCTAGTCTTTTCAAATAAAACTCTATTTGAAGTAGTTTTCAAATGAATCCGCCTCCAGTTTTCTCATTAGTCATGCTTTTCGGAGTATGACAAGGTTTTCTATTTCTCAGTTTATATTTTTTGAAATTTGGCGATATATCGGGATATATCCAGAAGGCAATATTTTTAGGTGACAATTTAATGAAAACAGTTGTTCTCAGAGTATTCTTTTCAGCATTTTCACCTACAAACCCATAATCATTGGTATGCGGGTGCCAGTGAACGAAAATTAGTTCAATATATAACACACAAAAGTCCTACTGTTTCAAAATTGCAGATCATACTTTTGAGTTTTCTTACTGGTAATCACCTTAAGAATTGCTCTGTGAAATAATTAATTAATAAGTATCATGTCTCGATTCATCATCCTGCATTAAATTGTTTGTATGTCAAATGAACCAAAAGTAACTATAATTTTACTAATTTCTAAGAGAAAATCTTCGCAAATCAAACGAGTTAAATCATTGCAGAAATGTCAAGTAGATGAAGTTATTGGAGTGAATTGGACACTTTATCTGTCAATAATATTAGATTCTCATCAGTTTGCCTCAGCATAAAGTTGAAATCAAAAGAAAATAGTAGCATTTCTAACTCATCTATAGTTACGGCCTTTATCATACTGTCACTTTTCTTGATAAGTTCGAACAAGAGAAAGCCGGACATATTTATATTATCCCTGAACTTTTCTTCACATGGTAACAGCCTAAAATCCCAATAGTTCATATAAACTAATGTAAACGTTTCAAGCTTGAAAGAACTAAAGTGTTATACATTCCCCTGAATGTATTTTTTTTTGTTTTATATAGATTTCTAGTGATCAAAACTGGTAGTGAATGATACTTTTTTATGTCATTTAAGTTGTTTGACGGTTACACATATGAATGTGTGCACTTATTCGATAAACGGTTTCCATTTTGTAGTCATTTTAAGGTTGTTACCAGTCATGCTAAATGATAGTTCATTTAACCTATTACTGTAATACAGATCATCTGTTCTGATAAAATACAAATCTGCTTTGCTCTGTCTTTCAATACGCACCTTTGTCAGTGATATATATCGTGACTTAGAAATCAAAAAGGTCAACAGTTAAATAATAATGATGAAACAAACGAAAAACTTCTTATCAAAAGACTCCGAAACTTTTCTTTTTTGAGTGTATAAGTTTAATAAAATGATCTTGGTAAGGTTTATTTAGCATTGCGTTTATCATCTGGAATGCTCAGAGAAGATTATATGTCTTGTTATAACTAATGTCCAGTTGATCATTCTCTATAAATTATGCAAGTTTTTCAGCTTAATTACCATCAAATTTCTGTCCTCACATTTAATTGGTGCCTCATAGAAGTGCGGCAATTATAGTGAATACACTTCTATGCAAAATTTTACGCCGATTCTCTTGTCAGCCGTATTTGTGTCAATTGAAATGAGTTCAAAATGGCCTTCTTCATAAGTTCCCTTCATAGAAGAAATCTTTTGAAATCTAAAGAGCTTTTTCACTTCTGGATGGAACTGGCTTTAATTTTAATGTGGACCAACGGCTAGTTTTTGCTTAAATATTTGAGTGTGGACCCTAAGTAGTGACTACGGGAGTGTAGAATTCCAGTATAAGATAAGCTGCCAAAGACGTTGGATGGAAGGTGGAAGTTATTGATAACCTAATATTTATTCCGTTGCCAAAAGCCAGCATGCTATTTTAAAAATAATCTTGCGGTCGTATATGAGATTATGGATGCACTTCGCCAGACTAACGAAAGTCTCTAAAAGACAGCTTTCATAATTGCTTGTTTTATGCAGTTTATGCGGTTTCTGTCAATCTACAGTGACACACATTTTGAATTTATTGGTGTAGTCACGATTTTGCGGGTGTCTTCTTTGCGAATCCCTCGTTGTCTGTCCAGGCAATATCTTTGGCTCAGACTCTAGTATGACGTGAGAGAGCTTTTGAGTTCTCCATAGATGAGACAACACACCTACAATGGCATCATCCATCAGAGCTACAAATCTTTCCCATCACTTTAAAGTTATTATAACTTTGAAATTTCAGGCCACTTTACCACTCCAAATCTTATGCTGACATTAAAGAGTGATTTAGCATCAACTGGCTTATTGGACGTAAAAATTTCCTTTTTGATAGAAATCGGAATTATACTGTAAATAAGTAGACAAAATACCTTAAAACTACTGGGGATAGAGTGAACATTCACTGTAGAATAATGTGCCAAAGTTCAAAAGTGCAAGCCACCAGAATTCATAAAATCGCACGAATGTAAATAAAGGAAATAAAAAGAGACTTAAAAATGGAATGTACTAGGGAGAGGATAATTGGGATCTATAAATCTAGCAGATCGCAAGGCGTGAAAGTATCCGCACCTTTTAAAACAATTTCGACTTTAAGCTATTAATTTTAGCGTCTCAATGACCTCAGCCAGGAAGCATACTCATGCAAACGAGGATCGTACCAACAGTCACAGACTTCAGGGATTGGTGCACTGTCCTCTAGTTCTTTTCCGACCCAATCCTCTGCTGGCTATCGTCACTCAGAAGAGAGCCAGTCTCTTGCAGCATATTACATGTCCCAGGGATCTCAGTAACTGGAGTTTCACAATCTCATTGATTGACTTTCATCCCTGACCTAACACTCTACCCTTGGGCACATTATTACTGACCCTATTATATCACGTATTATGGGAATTTGGAAACAGACTCTTGTGGTCGAAATTCGCCAGTCGTGTTATATCTTCTGCCTCCAACGGTCAGATTTCATAGCTGCAAGGAAGAACGGAGTGAACTGCTAAGTATCATGTGCGTCTTTTGACACAGCCGGATATCACGTCTATGCCAACGATGACCCAAGTTAACAATAGCCTAAGAAGACTTAGTATCCATGATGAGATTTCTTCAGCAATCATTCCATCATGTTCAACAGAACTTTTAAAATGAATGAAGTAGCCAATACCCTCAAGTATTTTAATCCCTGTCTTTAAATTAGAAATCTGTATAGATCAGTACTAAATCATCATTTTACAGCAGACAAGGGTGGATGACTTACCGAATATGTTTAAATTTCTGTTTCAACATATTCAGAAGATTCTGTATTTGTCAGCATCTTCATCTGGAAAGACTTTATTATCTGCATGCTGAACATTGATGGAACTTTTTCCTTGTAAAAAGTCAGTCACTGAGATGTTAAACATGACCAGAGTAGGGGTTATTAAACGAAATTAATGAGTATCCCAGTCGAACAATACAAATAAGAGTGCTGATCTGAATCTACTCAAGTAGCAAGTTTTTCGCCCTAACTCGGTAATACTTCAGCAACAGCAAGTTCACCCAAATGAACCTAGGAATTTCATGACACCATTAAGATGGTTTTTGGATTTACTGCGTTGACAAGGTAAAGTTAATTCTGAAGGCTTTTATTATTTCTTGAGGCAAACCGTTAAACGAAATGAGTGCTTATTATGGTGTTTTTGTTGATTGAATCATCACGTATTCATTTATTCAGCATTAAATTATCATACATAACTTTTTAATTCCGTTAACAGATTGTTTCATTTGAACAAAAAGACATTTGCTTACGTCCAACAATAAAATATAGATATTAGACACAATGCCACCGAAGAAAAAAGGGAAAGCTGATAAGCTTTCTAAAATGACAGATGAAGAAAGGGCTATTTATCTTGAACAGCAAAAAATTGCTGAAGAAGAAGCAAAGGCGAAGAAAACAGCATTGTTAACCCAGTATCTACAAGTTCGTTCATTTGTATTTCTAACCGATTTGTTTAGGATAAACTTGACCATGAAGAGAAAGCAACTAAGCTAAATAGAGCGAAACTGATACACTATTGGAGAACTATTATGCGTGAAACAAAATCTAAAGAATTAAAAAGAGATACAGAAATATTAGCACAAACTTTTGAAAGGATCATGGATCGGTAGGTTTAATCGCATTCAACATTTCACTATCATTACAAAGGAAGGAGAATATCATGAAAACGCTCGTTTCGGATCTCAATGAAGCAGAGGAACAACATCTTATGGCCTTACGATCTCATTTACAAAATGTAGATACTTTAATAGGTAAGTTTACTTATGTTCAATGATTCAGCCCAAATATGCAAATTCACAATACTTATTTCACTTATTTTTGAAAAATTCTCTAGCAAAAGGCAGGTTGCCGAATAGGTATGATTATATTATGTCCCAGTGTGTTTCTGTGTGACGACATTTACAGACTATAATTTTAGTGGTCTTTGTTGCATTTTTCTACCTTAGTGAGAAAGATAGCTAAATGAAAATATTTCATATGAATTATTAAATGGATTTCCCTAGCTACGCATTTATGTGACTCTTAGTAAATTGTAGTCTTGTATTTCTTGTGTGCAGAACACAGTAACCATTCATTTAAGCAAAGATTACAGATCGCTTACACTTTTTTGCTGATATAAAAACTTCAAAATAAAAATGGAGACAAATCAATTATTTAGGTTTCAATGGAAAAATATAGGATACATATGTAGTATATCGAATAGTAATTAGTATTTAGGAAATGCGATCTTATTGTGCTGAATTGAAGAAATACCATTGGGACCTATGTAAAGTGCTTAGTAAATTTAATCTGTTCTATAATGACCAGTAGAGTTACTGTTCACTCTTATCATCGTTCACTGGTGCATTTTATCAGTTGGTATTAATTCTTGGCTAACAAGAATAACACGATTTACATCTACCTTCCTGTCCACCTTTGAATAAAGGATTCACTTGAAAAAAGAGTTTCGAGAACATTTTTTTCAGCAAAAACCAACAGAACATAAAAATGTAGGAAGCCAAGGTGTAGTAGACAGTCGTTTCATACTATTTTTACATATTTCTTTCTTGTGCGGTATTCAAATTTTTATGATTATTCGCCCTTAAATAAAGGGTTTCATTTGAGAAAATTGCATATCTACATGGCGAAAAGAAGTTCATATCTTTTTACCAAAACTTAGAGCCTTGTTCATGTTCAAAAATGTAAACAATGTCACTAGCATAGTAGAAATTCGAGCGGAAGATGGTCGAATTCCTGGTTTGTAGCTGAATCAGAACAAGTAGCTGAGTAACTAGAATACATGGTCAGTAATCCTGAAGCCTTTGATGCGATTCCTACTCCTTTGTGGATTTAATATCACCTTCAATCATCACTTGCTTTGTCAATGACAATCTCCCTACCTCAGGGTTTTCCTATATAATCTTACTAGAAAGCTTAAGTTTACCGATTTGATCAGGAGCTGACATCAGCTATAGAACTACTGCCAAGCCAGAGAGGACTAGACAACTGTTTCATCATAGTCTGGGACTTTTCAGCATTACACATCAACCGGGTCCAAACTCAGGACCTTCTAGTTACAAGACGCGCTCGTATGCCCTTCAACCTCTGGGAACTGACCCTATGGTCCCTGACTTCTAGCTTCTATGTGAGTACTGCTGAACGGTCTCGGAGTTAGAAAAAACGGCTACCTAGCACTCCTCGATTTTCCGATGGTCCTCTAGTTGATGTGAGCTCAAGATAAAACCTGCAACCAATCAAATCCCTGCAAATCAATACCTGATAAAAGGTTTAATTTGTTTCAAGTTATATTAGTTGCTTTGTTTTTTCTATGCCGAATTTCGGAATTTTCTTTCTTTCTGTCTGTCTGGATTCAACATAGAACTTGGCACCGAAGTGCAGCAGTTCGAGTTGCCACGTTCCAAATAGCACACAAAGGTAGACAAGAAAATGAGTGAAGAGAATCAATAGAGTTTTGACAAGTATAAGAGTGAAACAGAATGAGTAATGGTAGAAAGGAATATGAAAGATTACAGAGACTGAATACATCTGCGTAAGCCATTGACAACGATTTTGAACCATGTCACCTATTGTCTCCAGCCATTGATTCTTAGAGTCCCGAGGGCCCCAACCCGGAAGTCTGCATCTCCCTACTTGACTCAGTTTAACTGTCAGGGATTTCATGGATTGATGCCATGTTTTTGTTTGGGCACCACTTACTCTTTTCCAACCTGCACCTATATCAGCTAGTAATGCCCGTCGGGGGAGACGATGGTTAGGCATGCGCAGCACGTGGCCTAACCATCTCAATCTATGTAACATCATAGCCTCTTCGAGTGATTTTCCCCCTTTGCCCAACACTCTACGCCTAAGGTCAACATTACTTACCTTATTATACCACCTAACGCGAGAAAGAGATCGTAAACATCTGTGGTCAAAAACACACAATCTCTTCATGTCTTCCGCTCTCAATGGCCACGTCTCACCGCCATAGAGAAGGACGGAGCGAACTGCTGAGCAGTATACACGTCCCTTGGTTGACAGCCGGATGTCACGCCTACGCCAGAGACGGTGTAAGTTAGCGAAAGCAGCCCGAGCTTTCTGAATCCGTGCTGTGATTTCGTCGCCAATCAATCCATTGGTGCTGATACAACTTCCCAAATAGGTGAAGTGGTCAACATGTTCTATCACTTCACTCCCTATCACTAAGCTAGGAGTTGACGTAGTCCAGTCCTGTAGCAGCATCTTACATTTCACAGGGGCGAATCGCATGCCAAACATACGAAGATTGCTGCTCAAGGTGTTCAGAAGACTCTGCATTTTGTCAGCGTCCTCCCCTAACCGGACTATGTCGTCTGCGTATTCTAGGTCTATAAGACTATTCCCTGGTAACAAGTCGATTCCTAAGTCATTAAGTTCAGTTAAGGATACTTCCATTAGCATATCTATGATGAAGTTAAACAGAAAAGGGGAAAGTGGACATCCCTGACGGACACCACTGGTTGTTATCAATTCTTTAGTTTGGTTTGTAAGAGTTAGTTATTTTTTCACGGGTTGATCACGGATTGATATCATTTGGAGAACCATTGAAAACCAGGGAGTACTGGACAGCTGCTGTTTCATCCTAGTTTGGGAATCATCGGCAGTACGCACCCACATAACTAAGCCTTACAAACCAAACTATAGGAAATTAATCTGATGCTTGCTAGTGACTTGCTACAGGATGGAGTTTCCTGGAGTTCTAGTGAGAAGTCGTGACCAGTGAGGTCCAATTAGATGTCATGTGTGTGGATGGATTTCCCACCAACGACATTGGTTGGGGTCACGCTAAATCACGAATTTGTAGAAGTTAGAATTCATGCACTGGCCATTGAATCGGGTCCCAGTGGCTGAATGGTATACGAGATCGCTTGCCTTGTAACCGGAAGGTCCTGGGTTCTAACTCCAGTGGGTGCGTACTGCCGATGATTCCCAAACTACGATGGAGGAAACAGCTGTCCAGTACTCCCTGGTTTCTAATGTTTCTCTAACTGATATCAATCCGTGATCAACTCGTAAAAATTTGGGAATCCCAGTTCAAAACCACAAAAAATTTTAACCGAAATAATTATGTGTATGAAATCCTGCATCAAACACTGCCTGATCTGTTTGATTTATATGATTCATCGTAGCAAACTGAGCTTGTCACTGATTTAAAATAACTTAGAAATATTCAGCTACTGAAAAATATTTTAGTAGTCAACTTATACTAACTAAATGTTTAGATTTGTGGGAGACATCTTGTCTTTCTTCCAGGAAAAATTCATGATTACAACGCAAAGTAATTTAAGCAGTCCTCATAAGCTTGGAAAGCTGAGCTGCATGGCCTTATTTTTTGATACAATAATGAGGTTATAAGTGATTCATCTTCCATTTCCACAACCATCCACTTGACTGAGACTATGTTTCATACATGATTGCGTTTAAATCAACAATCTTCCTACAAATTACTTGAAGGAACCTCTCCTCAGATGCACCTTCTCATAGTTGTCATTTTATTTTGACTAGCAACGTTTACTTATTCGTAAACTAAAGGATAATATTGTGTCAAACCTATAATTGTTCAAGAATTAAAAAAAAGGTGAATTTCACTTTGAACATAATTCGTTAGTAATCCTGAGGACTTTTGTTTGAATCCCTACTATGATCCAAACTGTTGTTGAACCTAAAGTCATCATTCATCGAATCAGTATGAGTCTATAAGGATCGGCGATAATAGTATATAAGCCTGAAATTATAGGAATAAATCGTCACATGTTCACAATGGATCTACTATGTTCCACTCTATGTTTTCATAATGTGTCTGTTTGAAGAAGATTATTATTTGGTGGAACCCGAAAGGGAAGCGGCGAGTTGGTCGTCCAAGGGTGACTTGGAGGAGGTCATGTGAAGAGGAGATGAAAACGTGTGGGCAGACATGGAGTCAGGTGAAGACTCTAGCAGAGAACAGAACGCAATGGAGACGCACGGCTGAAGCCCTATGTTCCTGTAGGAATTAAAGGATACAATAATAATAATTATTATTATTTGGTACATTGCATTTGTGCCCAAATTATTTGGAAAAGAAAAAGAGGTTGTTAGAAGATAGTCGTTGCTTTATTCTTCATGAAGAAATCACCATTACACCGAAACCACTTTACACAATAAAACTTCAGAGGAATTTTTGGCTTGTTTATTTTAATAATTTGTCCACTAATCACTTAATTTTATCAATACAGACTTACAAAACCAACGATTACGCAAACTGAAAACTGACTATGAAACAGAAATGAAGTATTTGGTAGAAGAGTTTGAAAAAGGTTAGTTGTATATATACTGGTGTAATTATGCTTTAAATTCTCTTAAAGAGGAGAACTATATTACACAACAGCATGAGAAACAAATCAATGATTTAAAAAATATTTTCGTTGCACTGGATTCCACATATACAGCGAAGATAAATGAGGCCATTATCGATCAAAATAGTCTAAAGGATGACTTGAAAAATAGAGTAAGTTTTTTTGATTTCAAAGGTATTTTTTGCTTTCTACTGAAGTCTTTCATTATGTTTTAGAAGTTAAATTAGGTGGTAGTGGGTAAAGTCATCAGTTTCATCGTTGAATGATGTTCATAAGTATGTATGATTCTTTATTTCTCTGGAATTACACTATCTGGTTGACGAATATAATTTTTACGTAGACACAGCCGTGTCTTATTTTACGAGAAAATGTATCGTAAGTTGAAGAGACAGAACAGTTATACCATAAAAATGTATCTGCAATTTACAGGGGGCTGAGAAGTTAGTAGAAATATATCGAAAGTAATAACTTCGAGATACGACGTCTGCTATCCAGGAAAATAGATTTTTCACATATAGCTATTAATTACAGCTAGTATATTCATTATAAGCGTGGTAATGTGGCTATACTGGTCTCTTTTGTAATCAATATGCATTAGACATTCATCAGGAACATTAAGAGCATTATAGAATACCTAAGGTCTCTAATTAAAGAGTTTACCTTAAACTTAACAATAGTAGCTTAGTAAATTCACTAACCTCTATATGCACTTTAAACAAACTAACTATCTAATGCATTTTGCTTAAAGGTCATACGTAAGAGGTATATGTTTAAAAGAAATTTATTAAGTGGGCATTTGGAATTTCCTGTGGCATTAGTAGTGTCGTGGGATTGAACATTTTATTCACGACTGCTGAACGGGTGTCAAGAATTAGTCGATAATGAAGTCACCACAACTGATATAATTAATATTCTAGTTAACCTTTTCTTTGGGCTCTGATATTTTATCCAAAACTTCTCAGATTTTTCGTCCCAACTTTTCATAACACTGAGCTTGTTTTTTACCTACTGAAATTGTCCATTTGAATCAAATAGGTAGGACAGGCAGCATTAAAGTGCATAGTTTTGCTTCTTTCAAGAAATAGTACGGAATATGATGCTTGTGCTGATGTCTGAAACTCTTCGCAGGAAATGCTCTTTTTCTCAGTGCGAAAAAGAAACCAATAGAGAAATTGACAAACCAAATTATAAGTTTCCATTAAAATGTCTAAATCATCTTTGTAAATCTGCACGTGTATTTCAACAAACAATGCCACAAAAGTAAAAACCAATTAAATTCAAAATACACTGAAACGAAGTTGAGAGGTAGAGATGGAAAAGCAACTAATAAAAACGCCATGTAATAATAATAAAAGCTTAAGAGAAAATAAAAGAATATGAGTTGTATTAGTTATAAGATTTCATCATGAACTGGCATCGGTTAGAGAACCATTAGAAAACCTGGGAGTACTGGACAGCTGTCTCGTTATAGTTTGGGACTCTTCACAATACACAGAAACCGCTATTGTTCGAACCCAGAATCTTCTGGTTACAAGGCGAGCTCGTAGACCATTGGACCACTGGGAACCGATGCAGTGGTCAGTGCATGAATTCCAACTTCTGCCAATTCACGACATAGTGCGACCGGTAGCCAATGTCTTTGGCGAGTATTTGTCGTCAGACCCGACAAGCTCCACCCTACGTACTCTATCCTGTAACCAGTCAATCAAATCCCTACAAACCAATATATGAAAATCAATGAGGTGCTCACTAGCGACTTGCCCTATTCAGGTAGGTAGTTACCTGGGTTCTAGTGGGCCGTCGTGACCAGTAGGGTGCAGCAGTTCAGGTGTGAGGGCAAATACTCGCCGAAGACATTGGCTACCGGTCGCACTATGTCGTGAATTGGCAGAAGTTGGAATTCATGCACTGGCCACTGCATCGGTTCCCAGTGGTCCAATGGTCTACGAGCTCGCCTTGTAACCAGAAGGTTCTGGGTTCGAACTATGGCGGTGTCCGCGTACTGTGAAGAGTCCCAAACTGTAATGAGACAGCTGTCCAGTACTCCCAGATTTTCTAATGGTTCTCTAACCGATGCCAGTTCGTGATGAAATCCTGTAACCAATCAATCAAATCCCCAAAAACCAATACTTCACTATTAGTATTGCTTTCCGCACTTAGCACTGATACACTTCATTAAATGGTGGGTAAAAAATAGTTTTTATTATTTGTAAGCCAAAACTATGTAACCTTAATACAAGTTACCAGCTTATATTATTGGTTCACTAGTGAGAATGTAATAAATGAATAACGTCATGTTTGAATTTAACTCCACAGCAAAAGCTTCATGCATTGCATTCATCTAATCACTTAATGGCCTACCACATACAACCTTCTTTCAGAATGACAGAAAATTGAGTACTTGTCATATATCTATGCGTTTCAATTACAGGAAGCACAGTATGAGTCGATATCTCCCTATGGTTTTTGTAAATTGCATGTTTAAAGCCACTGGTTAACACTTGATTTTATATTTCACTCGGCGGATTGACTACGAAATGGAGAAACTGCTGTTATATACCCACAGTACTTCCACACACACTAGTGTGTAAGTGGTCGCTCGAATATAATTGGCAAACTAGAAGGAAGATACGGTTTGGTCCACTGCTAAAGATAAAATTCAGGGATACAGTCATATTAGCAGGTGATTTCGATACTCAGTTGGAGAAACTGAACCAGTCTGTAAGGTAAATCAGGAGTACCTGCAATGATAGCCTTTTACACTTTTCTCAAGTTGACCATCACTGATTTTGAATTGAAAAAAGACGTCCTCTCACATGACGATCACTGTGACTAAACCAATGTTTGAAGTAAATAGACCAATTAGCTGTAAGTTGTCGATGAAGATGGTCAGTAGAGATTTGTAGCTCCTTCTTGATCACCAGCATGGAGTTCGATTATGAATTAGTTGGTGCAGAAGTATGCATACAACAGAACTTTGTAGCCCTTACGTGCCCGGCCATTCAATGAGAATAGGTGGTCAGTGTTAAGGTACCAGATTATTACATGTTATCACCTTCATTCTACCTTTGATGCTGTTTAATTAAATAATAATTGTAACTATGTATACTTATGCATCTTAATGCAATTGTGCAGCTTTTCAGAACAAAATAACCGAAAAGATGTATATGCTAAGCTTCTTATTCTTTTCTCCATGATTCTGGATATTCGTCTACGTATGCTCATAATATTCATCCTGAGGAAGTCTGAGAGGACATCAAATTTATTGTAGAAACAGTAGTTGATAACCTGTAACCAACTTCTGAAAAATTGAACTAATACACTTTTGTGTAAAGTTTTACGCCCACAGTTTAGTTTGACTTCACTTCTTTGGTTTTAAAAATTATAGATTTATTTAAGTATGTCATTGTTTTCATATCTCATATTTCCATTTAGATATGGACTTAAAAATGTATTTGAAGGCCACGTTTGTAGCTCTCATTTTAGAGAAGTTGATATTTCTAACTTATAAAGGAGAGCGTTTCGATGTATCAGGAATGATACATATATATAAGAGAGATTAATTTTACGTGTTTCTTTTACAGAGCCTAGAAGATAAACATACATTGAGAATAAGTTTAGAAGCCAAAGTCAATAGTCTGTGGTCTGAATTCAAACAAGCTTCAGCTCAATATACAACAACTACAAACGAGAAAAAATCCTTCTTTGAAAATTTAAAAGCAAAAGATGAACGTTCTGCCACTGAAATTCAACATCATATAAATAAAATACAAAAAATCAATGAGAATATTGCTTCAACAAAACGTCGTATGATGAAAGTTGCTAAAGAATATGAAGAGAAAAATCGTAAATTAAGAGAAGAACGTGATAAGTTAATTGTACAATTTCAAATGTTAAAGATACAAATTAATAAATCACGCGAAATACAACATAAAAATTTGATTAAAATGTCACTTGAAAGTGGAGAAGCAATAAAAAAGGTAAATTATTAATGCATTCTTTAGAAATACACTTATCTACTACTAAAATGTAATTACAGTAGTATTTAAATCTTAAGTATTAACTGAAGCTGATTTACGCTTATGTAGTCTAATTGAAATAATTCGATAGCTGCTGGATATACATCGGTTACTACCATAAAGTGACAAACATTCGTTCTAATTGTAATCCTCCAATGAGTTACTTATAACTTCGATAACTCAGTTAGCTTATAACTATTGAGTCTCATATGACGTTCAAGATCTCTTCTGTCTTTACTTTTACTTATATGAAGTGTGGCAACCTGAGCTGCTGGACGTTTGAGTAGAGTTCTACATTGAAAATTCAATTCAGCTCATTTCCTAAAGTAAGTATCCACAAGTGAAAAATAAACAAGGATGTCTTTCTAGCTAACCACTGACTCTTAATATTTTCTCATTTTTTTCATTTTTCAACTGTGAAACAGGTTCAGTATTTACTGGATAAAGCTGAGAAAATTATTAAACTAGGCGAACAGTGTAGAAAGTATGAAACAGAAGAAGAGAAAGTTGTACCATTTTATGCATCAAGTTTAACTGCTGAAGAAGAGAAAGCGGTTCAAGAATTTTATGAGAATGAAACTGATGAGGAAATTTCAAAGGTATGTATAATGATGGATGAAAGTTTATCCTGTTTTACTAAATACACCTAATTTTTTTAAAAGCATTACCCTCCGGTTAAGTTTTGACTGTAAGAATACTCCGAAATTTAGAAACCAAGAGTAAACAACAGTCACCAAAGTCAAGTGACTTTGAACCAACCAATCACATCTCTCATCATTCAAAATAGGTGCTGTTCATAATCTTCGTTGCATGTTCCACCCAAATTTAGTTTTTGACTTTTGTGCGGAAAACGGATTGATAGGGGGGAGGGGGACTGAAACCTGCATATGTGGAGGGAAAATGACGCTATAAAAGTATTGTAGGGCTATTGACCATTACGCATTCAGATGCAACCACTGTTATACGGGGAAGTCTGTGAGAGTTGGTAAGTCGTACATTATGGTGATTTTTTAGATACTTTCTTCTCGAAGTCAAAACTGTCCCGTAGTAAAATGTTGAGTATATGCCATAACTGGCCACTGAAGCGACTAGTATCTGTTACAGCCGCAGAAACAGAGAATACTAAAATGTCAACAATGCAGTGGTATCAATACGGTCGTGATATTGCGTCACAAAAGCTAAATGGGATTACTTCTGTACTTGGAGAAGTTGGTGTCGTCGTGCGTATTCCCAAAACGATACTTATTAAGCGAAAAATGAATCGTGACAGGAGTGCAGCAAATCATATTTGGGTGCTGGGACGCCACAAATCTTCTTAAAGGGTTTGTAGAATGCATCCCGAACAGAAGTGTTGATGTCTTAATACCAACTGTACAACGACTAGTCCTCCCGAGCACCACCATTCACACAGACGAGTGGACAGGTTATTCTCAATTATCATTACTAGGCTATCTTCACCACAAAGTCAACCATTCTTCTGAATTGGTGGATCCTATAACTGGAACACAAACAAATTTCATTGAAGGATTCTTGGCTAATTTGAAAACACGAATCAAAATGGTAAACGATTCCAGAAAGGATATGGTATATAGTCACTTAGATGAGTTTTTGTATCGACGCTGGTTTAATATGTCTATAACCACTTCTATGAGAAACTGGGACCAGTTTTTGCAGCATATTAGAAACACATACCTTGTATAATTGATTTTTATTATATATATTATAAATACACTTTTTTATTAATTAAATGCCACTTTTCACCTGGAAGAGTCTGATTGGTTTTTTCAAGGTCATCTGTAGTTGGTGTCTATTCTTTACTGTTGCCACCGAGTACAGAAATAACAGCGCTTTTCAAATAAATGATGATTTTAGATACAATCTTTAACATTTGATTAAGTAACACCACCTTCAGCCTTACAGATATTGTCAATACAAACTTCACTAACTGCCCAATGAAATTGGTGCTTATAGCATCTTAAAGGCAAGTAGTGTAACGTTCTAACAGGATGTCACAGCCCAGAGAATACCAAACTATTTTCATTTCATAATAATACCCACTTATTTAAACTAAAAGTGTAAATTTAACGTGGGAAACAAGACATAACTGATGAAAGTTGAAGAAAGTCTTTCAGAGTAACAAAGTCATAGGATGGACAGTTATTTTCTAGAGATGAAAATAATAAAGACTACTGACTTCTTTTCGTGTAAAATCTTAAGATTATTTGCAGACTATGGCTTTTATCTGTGACTACCGATAATTCCTCATATCGCCAAAAAGGTTTTCACAACTCATAGTACTTGACTGGTTGGTAATGGTATATTCATTTCCATACTTACTTGTAACTACAAATTTCCACGTGATTTACTATCAAATAATAAATATTTAGGCAACTGATGCTCAGTTTTGAAATCTACTGCACTCAATATAAAGAATAAAATTCAGATTTTCAACATCAGTGTTAAGTCATTCAATTCTTCTATATGGATCAGAAACTTGCACTGCACGTCACGAAAAGCATTTCCAGAAGCTAGTGGCAGACTCTTATCAACAGTTGCCTTCGCCGGTTTCATACTGAAGATCGAATGGTCAGAAAGAAATGGCAACAAAAAATTATGGGAACTAACCAACCAAGAACCTACTGCTCAACAAATATACCAAAAAAATGCAGATGTGTAGGACACACGCTGTGGAGACCGTCGAATGAAAGCGCGCATCAGGCGACGAGTAGGTCATCAGCGAGAGGGTGATATAGAGGAGATTGTATGAGGAGGATATGAGAGACTATGGACAATCATCCGCCCAGATGAAGAGGACCACAGAGAATAGGACAAAGTGGAGATGTGCTCCTGAAGCCTTATGTTTCACTCGGAAACCAATCTAACAATAATAATGATAATAATATACAACCGCTCACTTAAAAAGTCTACAAGAAAAATGAAATAGTATTAATTCTTCTCAATCTCCTACTAACATATAGTCTCTCTGCTTATGCACATAAATGACTCAATTACAAATACTAAGAAATTCTTTTTACCCCTACTTTTTATGTGTCAATTTTGATTGTTTCCCTTAAGAGTTCGGATAGGTTTGCCGATCGAAATGTTGGAATTGCATATTCGAAATTACTTATTTCCCTGCCAATAGGATTCCAATAAATATAACTTCTATATATGTCTACACTTCGTTCTCCACCGCATTTCAGTAGAACTATTCAGACAAAACTTAATCAAGGTTCATTTAAATTTAAGTATGACTAAGTCTCTGAGCATTTAGGTCGAGAAATGAGTGGCATGATTACTTGTAATTAACTAAACCATGAAATCCACATGCTAAGAATAAGAAAACTACTCCACGAATGTGAAGAAAAGTTATATATATTTTTTGTAAATGGTGGCAGCATAAAATAACTGTCTTTTCAAAGAATCATCGTCAAATGAGAAGCAGTCCATCTAAGTGAAGCTGTTCAGTTCCGCTACTTTCTTTTCTTTTATATCCATTTTCAATCTAAGGAGGTCTTTTATCGAGGATGCCTGCCATTGTAATATGTACTCTGCACTACTGAAGTGCAAAGTACTTTTATCACATTGTTAGTAACCTACATCCATACTCTTATATGGTCTGTAAGAACATGTGGGAATCAAGAGCAGTGTATACCTATCTGCGTTACTTCTGATATCGTTGTAAAGTTTGCCTGGTTGCGAAAAGGGCTGAATTTACATCAACTTACTAGGAGAATTTTCGCTTTATACGCTCAACTTCTGAAAGTTTAGAATTTCCAGATATTTTTATAGGACTGCATGCATCCAAAGGTGATATCATGTAGTTGATATTAGGATTGAGGGAATCGTGTTTGGAAATAGCGAAAATTGTCATTCGGAAACTGCTACTACATTGAACCTATATATAGATAGTGCGTCGGTGGCACAGCGGTAGGATGCTCACCAACCACGCATGTGTTTCAGGGTTCGATCCCCGACCAACGCACACCTCTACCTCGCTAAACCAGTGACAAGACTGATAAAAGGGAAGGTTGGGCATGAGGCTAGCAACCCGTCCAGTAATAATAAACACCACTGCTACCGAAACTTCAAGCCTCTAGCTTGAAGCCCTATGTTCCACTGGGAACGGAAAGGAATTATATATATATATATATATATATATATATATATATACTGGTTCACAGATGTATTACAGTTAAACATTTTTAGCCAATATTTTAAGTACAACTGTTTTGTGGAAGGTATGAAAACTAGCAAAACAGTATGTTGCTACTTTAAAGTAATTAAAACAACCAAGAAAATCGAACTTCAGTTGATATTTTGAATAACTTCCCACATTTTTATATATTTAAAATAGATACTGAAAGTACAAAATATTTGAGGTTGAAGCTGATTTGTTTTTACCAATGTTTGGAGATAAATTCCTACCAAACATAACTTTTATGCACTGTTTTTCAGAATGTACATCAAAAGTATGCAGTAAAGTGTTATGGGAAATAGTAATATGAGATTACAGTCAACCAGTATAGGTTCCAGGAGGAATAAAGTAAAAACGAAAAGAAAGAAAGTACAATAGCCAGTTGAAGAACTGGTAGATATCATTAGCACAAATTAATTTAGACATGAGACAGCAGAAATTTGCTGATATTCACTACAATTTTCTCAAAAAGCACTCCTATTTCCTAATATCAGAATTATGGAGCTTCAAAAGTAGATACTGGTTGAGTAGTAGTTTCTGAAGAAACTAGTGTACTTGGTGCATAGGTAAAACTGGAAACAACTATTATATCTATTTCATTTATTTTTGATTACAGCTTGATACCACACCGTCTTTTCAGTACAAGTATGGAATTTTAAGCATGGATATCGGTAGCCCAAATTTTGCAGGCCGACCATAGATATCGGGTGTGCGTCGGCAGGGGATCGAACCCCGGACCATGTGCATGGTCGGCGAGAGTCCTAACCACTGTGTCACCGAAGTGTGTTGTATGCAGTAAATCACCAACTGTCTTCAGCTCTAATGTCTGATAATAAAAAAGAAACGAAAGTATATACAGGTTATTCAAAGTATATGCAAAGACAAGGACTTATTTTAGCCTGGTAATAAGTAACATCTAATTACGTCATCCTTTTCATTGTATTTTGTGTCAGAGACTACAAAGAAGTAAAGTAGATTTACAAGATTATAAACTTTCATTCTGAATTTATTAAATTTGTTAACTTGTGTGCGTCAGTGGCACAGCTGTCAGTACGCTTGACGACTATGCATATGGTCCGGGGTTCGATCCCCCGCCGACGTACCCGTGATATCAATGGTCGGTCTGCTAAATTTCGGCTACCGATATCACATATCATAGGTGTACCAAAATACTGTGTGGAATCAAGCTATGATAAAATAAAATTAAAATTCTATTTTGACCATTTAAAAGTCTTAATTTGATGATCTTCCTTTATCTACAAAGCTCACTAGACTGTAAATACTTGTACACTCTTTTCTTATAACCGTCTCTGTTGACATTTGCTTTCCTTCTTTAACTTGTTTTAAATGCATCAGCATTTCAGGATATTCATGGATAAGTTATTTTAGACTTTTATTTTTTCAAAGTTTGTACTGTTCAGTTGTACATTATATTAAACTACATCAAATTTCATTGTCTACTGTTATTGATAAGATAGATAGCTGGTTAAACCAAAATATGTATATCCCATATGTCTGTAAACTTAGTCGGTATGGTTATTTTGTAAAAACAACATGCTTTAAACGTTTGTTTGTTTTTTTGAAACCATTAAATTTTAGGCGTCATTATAAATAAAATGCATTCAGTTACCTTCTGTTACTCTTTTTAATTACTGAATTATTTATAATTGTGAATCAATTATGCTCATCAACGTGTACCTCTTAATAGTCACTAATTGACTTTGTGCATTTTTCTAGGTAATTTGAAAAAGGACAGATAAACAAAAAATTTAATATTCATTTATTTCATTCAATTGTATGTAATGTGAATAACAGGATTAAAAACTGATTCATCTTATTAAGCAAATTATGCGGAGACATTTGACTATTGGAGACAGACAAATCATGCTTATCTGTGTTAGTTTCCACTAAATGATGCAGATATAGAGGCGATTAAGTTAGAAGAATAATCGACACATTACACGGCAAAGATGTATTACTAATTCATGAGCACAGATAAAAGTCATTCAAAATCTTACAGGAACCACATGCAGTGTTTCAGATATCAGGAGTAACTTGTTAGAGTAATTCAATTAAACAGATGCTTACAGTCTTCACCTTTTTAAAACTTAGCCTAAATTCGAACCTGTATATCAGTAAAATTTCTAAAAGACCCAAAACTTTAAGAAGTAAATGAAGAGGAAGTGTTCAAAAATAAGATGATCTTACAATAAACTACAATTAACAGATACAGGAGGAACGGATGAAGATGTCAAAGCCAGACAGTACCGGAAAGTCAAGATACACCTTCACCAAACTGAAACCAGTTTGGAAATCTTCTGCTGTCACTAGGCATAAATAATACGATTAGGATTTTCAACACAAATGTGAATTCAATCCTTCTATACTGGTGAGGAACTTGCAGTGAACGTCACGAAAAGCATTTCCAACAGCTAATGGCACACTTTTATCAACCACTGCCTTCTCTGGCTCCAAACTGAAAATCAGATGGCTGACAGGAAAAGAATCGGCATCAAGAAGCTCCGGTTAGAAACAAACTAACCAAGATCCATTTGCTCAACAGAGATGTAGGAGGAAATGGAGATGGATTGGGTATACATGGGGGAGGCTGTCGAATGACATCACGCGCCAGGCCATCATTCTAATGGAATCTGAATGGCAAATGATGAGTGGGACGTCAGTGCGTGGGTGACCTGGAGGAGCTCGTGTGAGGAGGAGATGAGAGATTATAGTCAATCGTGGACCCATCTGAAGAGAACCCCAAGGAATAGGAGAAAGTAGAGATGTGTTGTTGAATCCCTATGTCCTACTCAGAAACCAAGGGGATAATAATAATATACAATTAACACATGAGCAGATAGAATTTCGGAAGTAAAATAAGATGAATATATACGCACTACCACCACAGAATTCTCCAATTAAAGATTTTTAACATTTTGCGAACGTCACACATGTAAAAGACGTTATCTTACGAGAATCATTCTGAGCATCAGAAACTTTACGGTCTAGTTATTACATATTTTACCCAACATGAGTACAATTCGAAATGCTCTTTACATTATAATGTTCACATGTCTAATGAATAACTAAGGTGATAAAAAAGCTTTTCTTCGAAATATACAGCTTTCATTGATAGGCAGGTGATCTGAAGATTTGTAATATATGTCATTCCGTAATATTTTGATAGTGTCATCTGATGAAAATTTATGCATAAATGAACTCTCCTGTAAAACTCTATAGGTATATTCTTTATTTAGCGTAATTTCAATAGATAAATGGAGATGACTAATAGTTTTAATTTATTTCTCATTGTTTTAAAACAACAAAAATTATTCAAATTTTAGATATTAAAACGATGCATTCCACTGGAAATGTTTTGGAGACGATTTAACAAAGTTCAATTGGATCGGTTAGCCATTGCTAAGGAACACAATATGTTGGAGCAAGAAAATCTTCAATTAAAATTATTATTAAAACAATATTTAGATGGTATATCGATAAGTAATGAAGTAGTAACTGGTGATAATTCATTGCTTGTTATAAATGGACGTTCAAATGTTAGGTAAGCTGAATATTAACTGAACATTTGAATTCCATAAGGCCCGCTTCATTGGAGGTATAAGTTTGAAAGCCATAAAGCCTTAGTTAAATGTAAGATGTTGCTTGATGTATGACTGACGAAGATATTCACTAGAAGTGTAGAAGTTAAAGCAATCAGTAGTGTTTAAATCTTCATCCATATTGGAGATCAGTCACACCAGTCTTAATGAACTGGTTGCTGACGGATTCTAAGCATTTTTACTAAAAGTGTGCTTAGTATGATGTCTGAACTGTCTTATCACTTACATGTCGTGCATATTCTTCAAAATATGAAAAGGTCTCATAGGTTTGATCATAAATATCTTATTGAAATTGCTTAATTTCGTGGAATCGCCTAAAGAGTTATTTCTCGGTTAGACTCTGAGTTTATCAAAAAAAGGGAATGAACATGGATAAGAATTAATGTTGACCCGATAGATCATCTTTATTATAATGTTAAACCACATACTTTGTAGCCCCACGTCTTACCATTCAGCCAGAATAGATACATTCTACTAGATTATATACGTAAAGTCTGCGAACAAGGAAATGACACTCTCTAATCAATGAACTACTAAAACGTATCAATTTCAGCGTATTTTAAAGTTGATTCCCTTAAATTTAATAAAGCCCTCATTGGTTGATTGTTGAGCGTAATATGGACATCTAAAACCACAAGATGGTGGGACAGATAGTCGAACGGACAACTAAACAGGCAAGCAGCTAGACGGATGGACAAAAAGATTAGTCGATGTAGAGCTTCTTACCAAGCCTGAAGTAGCACAGAAAAGTCGATAACAGAAGTAGAAATATAAATTTTGAAGGAATATTTAAGTAGAAATTTAAGTAAATACTTGAAGAGAATTTCAGGGGTGATAAAAAAATGAATATATTCTTGTTGTTGTGGACTTAACTGATAATTCCCAGCATCCTAAAACCCTCACCTAAGCAGCCTACAATTTCTCATATGAACAGTCACAGAAATCCTTGTTTGGTGCAACCATCATTATCTCTTTTCCAGTCTAATCCTACTACAGCTATTACTGCTGGTTTGAAGAAGGAGGTAGCGTGAGATGCACAACTAGTCCTCCAGTTTCAGTAGTATACATGACACAGTCATCTGTTAGACCTAATCCTGTCACTACTCAGGTTTTTATGTTAACTTCAACCATAGCCTACTGATAGACAAACTAAGGTCATCACCCTACAGTTAATTAAACATTTCCTTTTTCTTTACTATATCACTATCAATCTTACGATTGAACTTTATTTTATTTTTTTTAGGCATTTAAGCATAGCAAACGATCCACGAATCAAAATGATACCAACTGGAGAGAATACAAACGATGGTAATGCTTCAAAGGAGATAATAAACTATGCCACTACACCAACCACAGTCGACTATAGAGTTAAACAAACAATTTAATTAATGAACAATTTCAAAATGATATGAAATAAGAAAATCAATGAGATAATTTATTCTTTTTGAAAAACCTTATTACCTGTAAATTCATTGTCCAGTCGATATAAAAGTAAGATTGAAGTGAAATAAATTCATTTGAAATTGAAAACGTTGTGCTTATCATTTTACTATAATAATAATAATTATTATTATTATTGTCCCCTCGGGCTTCGATCGGAACATAAGGTTTCAATAACAAATGTCTCCTTTAACCTGTTCTACACAGCCCTCTTCAGCTGGGTCGATGATTGTCTATAGTCTCTCACCTCCTCCTCACACAATCTTCTCCACGTTACCCCAGGACGCTCCTCTCGTCGTTTCCCATTCGTGTCCCACTAGAGCGATGATATGTATTGACAGCGATGTCATTCGACAGACTCCTCAATGTATACCCGATCCATCTCTATTTCCTCTTGGTTGATTTGTTCCCAGTCAGAGTTTCTCGTTGTTAATTTTTTCCACCCAGCCATTTGATGTTCACTATGGAACCAGACAAGGCAGTCGTTGATAAAAGTCTGTCATTAGCTGTTGGAAATGCTTTTCGTGACGCTCATTGCAAGCCTCTGACCCATGTAGAAAAACTGAGTGGATAAACATTTGTGTTTGAAATCCGAATATGTTTTATTTGTGTTGAGTACAGAAGATTTTCAAGCGGATTTCAGATTTATGAACGTCTGTATTATAGTAAGTAACTCTAATTAGGACGAGCGTTTTGTTTCATTTGAAATGCATCACAGAATAATGAAGACCAGCAGGAAATACTTGTTTAAAGGACGTAATTAACAACCTAGTCGAAAGTATCATTTACAATTCCGGTTAAGTTACATCTCAGAATGTGAAATAGGCAAGCAATTGATCCAATATCCTGTTTTCTATGGCTGACTTATCACTATATAACTTTTCATAAGTGTAACTAGGAGATTCATACATATAAAGATATAGAAGAGAAATGCGATAAGAGTGCAACAGACGGAGATGTACGGTGGAAAGGAGAATTGATTGAAGAGTTATTACGGTTTTTAAGAATCTGGACGGTAACAAGGAGGGACTACATATCCGGCAGTGAAAGCTATTTGCATCCATGTCCTCAACAGTCTCCAACCATTAACTTCTAGCATCTTGACGACCACAGCCAAACAATCTACACCGCTTTATATGGCTTAAACAAACAGTCAATGACATCAAAGATTGGTGGTGTTTTCGACTGACTACTTCTAACTATTTCAACCTAATTGTATATCAGATAACATTGCTTATTGAAAAAAGCACTGGCTTAGAACGCGTAGCACATGTCCTGACTGTTTCAATCGATGCAAGTACACAAATTCATCGACCAACTTGTCCTCCTACACCACATCCAGTCTCACAATTACTAACCATACTGAAACACCAAACACAAGAGATCCAACGGAGTCATTTATGGTTGAAACTCGCAGATCTTTTCATATCTTCTATCTTCAACAACTATGTCTCATATCTATAAAGCAGGATGAAGTATAGTGATACACAGTACAGACATCTTTTAACGTGTAAAGAGTTGTCACGTCTATTACAAAAATGATGCAATTTGTCAAATGTTAGACGAGTATTTTGCATCTATGCTGAGAGTTCGTCAGTCCACTAAGGCTAGTGCTAATCTTATAATATATGGGTAAGATTTATTGAACGTGAATGTCCATCTTTTTTTCTAAATAATCAAGATTAAGATTCTCTAAAGTGTGACTTGTGTTAAATTACTCCTTTTCTAGGCACAAGGTTAGAACACTTGTTCAGTCTATCCATATGATGACCACGGAAATGCAACAACATAAATTTAAGATTCCTTCATATTTTTCAAGGCAGTAAATTTTAATGAACATGCAAAAGACTATTAAAACACAAGATGTAATATTCGAGTGGATTAAATCGTTGGAAAGCAAATAAACTCAATTCATAAAATATAATTTAAAACTGTTTTTCAAGAGTTGGTTTGTAAAGATTAGATCTGTTTCTACCAGTTTGACCACGGATAGACATCAGTTAGGGAACAATTGAAAACATGGGAGTACTGGACAACTGTTTCATCCTAGTTTGAGACTCTTCAATGGTGTGCACCAACCAACAGGGTTCGAACCCAGGACCTTCCGGTTACAAGGCAAGCTCGTATACCACTCAGCCACTGTGACCCGATTCAATGGCCCATGAATTCTAAGTTCCACCAATTTGTGATTTAGCGTGACCATCAACCAATGGTTCTCTAATTGATATCAATCCGTGGTCAAACTAGTAAAAACTATTTAACTGTACTAGGTATTTTGAAATATGAGTCTACGTTATGGTGGCATGAGGTCTTACTTAATCGCTTTTTATTCATCGTGTTTCAAAGAATTGTTTCGTATATGATCACTCTTTTAAATTCACTAATCGGAAAGTCACTTTTCACGGCATATTATTGAATCTTACAGATGAAATTCAACACTATCGTGTGGAAACTGATGCAAATTATCCTCTTCAGAGACAACAAATATTACTTATCTATCGTACTGAATAACTCAATATGCTTTATTTAGATGTTGGTTAAAATCTGCGAGCTAAGAACACCATCTTGATTAGTAAACTGTCACAAATAAACTCTAAGTACCAGAAATTGTCATGTCATTTTGGTAAAAATACTGTTCTTTTGTAAGACATGTTCAGCAAGTGAAGTAGTATGGAACTGAATTTAAATCCCACCTCAATATAGAATTATTCAATTATCAATATATATTATACCTCATGAGCGGAAGTTGAAATATTTTTTTAGCCGGAGATTTGAATTCAAGAAAAAAGAAAAAGTTATCTCATAAAATATAGTCTTTGTTTGAAAATGTAACATCTATGCTAATAATAAACTAATTATTCACCAATTTTAAGTATAAATGTGTACATTATTCAAACAAGGGAACCACCCATATGATCTCTTCGACAGGAGATGCTCCTCCTGCAGTCTAATGTTAGTCACCATTAAAAAATTTAACATCCAGATGTCTCAAGATGATCATGCGGCTTCTATCAAAATAAATTGATTAATTCAATCAAATGAGATAAATAACAGAGGATGTCACGTAAAAATGACCTTATTCTTTTTAAAAAGTAAAATTCTGTGAATTTGTTATTTGACGTGTACTACTGACAAGGTTTGTCAGTAGTATATAAAAAGACGTTCATTGGCATAAAAATATCAAATAGCGGAGTGATAGACTTGACGTCAAAGAGAGGAAGTGATTCAGCGTTGTGGCAAAACATAGGAGTCAGGGAAAGAAGACAAAGCGACATAATAGGAAGGGCAGAAGTAGAATAGATCTGTGCAAATAACGATTTTCAGATAATTTCGTTATATAGAGTTTCCAAATAAATATTCCTTTACCAAGTCTCTTGTCTTCTACAGTTATAGTTTTATGTGATTAGATCTTATTATACAACGTACTAAATATAAATCAAAAATGAATAGTCAGAAGATAATTGATACCATCCATCAATAGCACTACCACACCCGACACTGCTGTTAAGTATGATAGGAAGAAAACGTACTGTCAACCCATGAAGTTTAAAACTGGTGGTGGTGTGTTCTGACACTAATAGATTTGATTCTGTATTTTTAATCTGTTCGAATAGCTGGCTTATTTGTAAATATATAAGCTGATTTCGAATTTAGTGGTTAACAATAATTTTCATGAGTCGGTGGCACAACGGTAGAATGCATGCCAACCACGCATGTGGTCCGGAATTCGATCCCATGCAGACTCACTCCTTTACCTCGATAAGCCAGTAATAAGACTGGCATAGAGAGAAGATTGGACATGAGGCTAGCAACTCAGTGCCGTAAAAATAAACACCACTACTACTGAAACTTCAAGCCTCTAGTTTTAAGCCCTATGTTCCACTGGGTACCATTTTGGCAGATTTCCTTCTAAGTAAACTAGAAAATAGACATTTGAACAACCTTATTAGAAAATTCTCATTTTATTGCCGGTATATGGATGACACCTTCATTCTTTGTGATGATGATTCGGATAGGAACAGAATAATAGCTGAATTCAATGAAATACATTCGGCTATGAAATTCACGTGCGAAGCGGAATGCCAAAACAGAATTGCCCGCCCCGATGTCCTCCTTACAAGAAAACCAGATGGTAGCACATAAAGAAATTTGCATAGGAAAAGTACATGGACAGAACAGCATACACATTTTCGCAGCTTAGTTCCTCCCCAGTACAAGAGAAATTTATTAAAGACTCCGCCACATGGTTAGAGCTATATGATTAAAAGTAATTGAAGATGAATTGTATTGAAGCATTGTATATGATACCTTGATTGAAAATAACTACATCGGCAAATTTATCAAGAAACACGTTACAAAGAAAGCGGAAAAGGTTTACTCACTGTCCGTAAACAAAAAGTTTTTATACATACGATTTCAATTCAAGGGAGGTATACCAAGCTAAATAATTACGAAGAAATTAAGAAAATCAGCTCAAAGAATTTTTAATGCTGGCGAACTACACGACTTAATCTCTGCACGACCGATGGTGATTCCTCTATTGAAAGATGAAGTACCTAGACTAGCCACTTCCAGTTATTTCTACCAATTCAACTGCGCTTGTGGAGTGAGTTATATCGGCTGTTGCTCTATGAACTTGATTTTTCGTGCTCGAGAACATATCCCACTATGGCTAAGTAAAGGTGTAGTGAAAACCATCAACAGTTCGATATTATACCATCTGGTACAAACCGGCCACAAAGCCAGCATTGAAGAATCCTTCTCTATCTCCAACCGGGTGCCAAATAAATCGACAAAAACATTGAGGTACCACACGCTCCAAACAGTAGAGGCTATCGCAATTCGGGTGAAAACCAGTGCGTTGTGTGCAAAAGAAACAAATCCAGCCACTACTACTGCCCTGGCCGGCCTTCAGTTGAGATTATAAACTCATGAATTTATATTATTATCTTTCCTAATTTTTCTGACATTCAGTTTATTGTTATGTTGATGCTATTGAACTGAAATCCATTGATATTCTTATTGATTCTATGTTATTTAAACATTAATGTTGTTCATATCACTAATTCATTCACTATAGTGTACATATAAATGTAGAACCTGATGATTAATTTATCGCAAAGAGTATTTTTTGTTCAGTAACCATTCTTTTGAAAATTTTAATGGGCATTTTTCATCAGTAAATAATTTTTGTATTAAATTAATTATGTTATACATTGTTGGTAGAAGAAATTTGTATTTCATGGAGGATTTCATCATGAGCTAACATCAGTTAGAGAACCACTGGAAAACCTGGGAGTACTGGACAGCTGTTTCGTCCTAGTTTGGGACTCATCAGCAGTACGCACCCACAGGGATTCGAACCCAGGACCTTCCAGTTACAAGGCGAGCTCGTAGACCATTGAGTCACTGGGACCCAATCCAATGGTCCTTGAATTTTAACTTCTGCCAATCGACGACTTAGCGCGACCATTTCGCAATATCTTCTACGACGAGTTACTTCCTGGGTGTGTACTACTGAAGAGACTCAAACTAGAACGAAACGGCTGTCCAGTACTCCCAGTGGTTCTCTAACTGATGTCAGCTCATGATGAAATCCTCCATGTAATCAAACAAGTCCCTACAAAACCAATACTTGAAAATTGGTATTTCCCAAAGACGAAACACAGTCCTACCTGTTTCGATATACAAGGAAATACAAAACACCAATATTAATGAATTTCATTGGATAAATTTATATTTATGCGATATCATTCCGCCTTAATGCTACCAAATCTTCTCAAAACAAGAATAACAATCTCTGTAAACCATTTGAATACAATGCTGAATACTGTTCTACAAAATACGCTATGCAGTTTGAGAAAACAAGATATTCTACGAATACTTTAAGGTCGCATTAGTCCCAGTGGTCTTCCTGTGTATTTGTTTCTGACGGCAATTAGTGAAAACGACTCCTAGTCTTATTTCTGATTGGACACTAGTTGTTGACTAGTGGTAACGCCTCTGACTACAGCACTGGGTAACGCAGGTGTGAATCTCAGAAGTGATATGAGTTCCTTCGAGGTTGCAGATATGCCTTGCTGATGAGTGCCAACTAGTACGAAACCTAGGTCCAAGGCTTCCTGTCGATTGCCTTCAACCACCTAATACCAACGATTCCTAGTCTTAATTAGTTAGTTAGAACTCAGTTATCTGGGACAGATTTTTCATGTACCAAACTACAAGCCACACTTATTGTGTGTGAAGGTCGGTGGCTCTACGTAGTTGTTCAGGGTGAATTAAGTAAAGTGGTATTCGAACCAGAGGTGTACTGGTTGCGATTCAAGTGCTTAAACCGATGAGTCATATCTGTATCTCATCGCATACTTAATCATTCTGCTTAGCATTCATGAATGTCTGAAGCACTTTTAAGGATTAAATACTATGGTGATATAAAGTAGGAATCGAATATAAAAATGGCGTATGCATCACAAAGTCTAACAGTGATATTCTCTATGTGGTGGTTTCCTAAATAAACTGGATTACACTTAATAGAGTGCTAGACACTAATCATCTTAAAGAGGTTCTTTTAATTACTCTGATGAAGTGATGACATAAAATTAGACTAAATCCTATACAAATAAGCCAAAGTTGCTTCACTACAACTCCAAGCAGTGAAATGTTTTCTACGGTACCAATTTATGTGGGGAAAAAGAGGTGTTCTACAATTCTGTTAAGTTACATCAAACATTCACGTCTTCAAGACAACACATATTTGTAATAATCTATTCAAATTTCTGCAGAATCTGTAACTAAAACTCCTAGCCTTTTCTGCTGTCTGTTCAAATGTGTAATCAGTACATTTCAAAAAAAGGAATGTCGACAATTCCTTAGCCGATTAAACAGTTTATTTATAATTACTTCACTTCCCTTGTTTGAATCGACAGAATATATAGTACAAAGTACTAGTAGAGTAGAGATTTTCATTCTTAACATTCTATTTCCAATGAGTTACTATTTCTGCTTACTCCTCAGAGTACTAAGTAATTGTTTTTTCTAAAGCTTAGATATTTTTAGGAAATATTATAAGTAAATTTCGAATCTTATGCTAAAACTGTAAGACAGTTGGAGCCCACTCTCTCTAAAAAAATATGCGGAGTTTGGAACAATATGACTGTGTGGTGTTTTTTAGACTTTGTAAATGGAAAAATTGTACATAACTTTTGTTGAGAACGATTCATTGTAAGATATAAACGGCTTCAGAGTACAATCTAATATACAGTGTGCTGTTCGACGAATCGTCTTCTCACTGGTTCATACTGCTTACTTGTTTCACCACTAACCGTGTTGTATACTTTGGATTTTTGAGGAACCTCTCATCCGAAAACTATTCTACAACCATGGCACAGCTTCTAGTAGTAGACACAACTCCAGCAATGAACACTTATTTGAAATATAATAATAATTTGTAGTAGCGGACTTTGACTGTATCACCAAGTAACAATTAATTTAAATAACTCGTTAACTGTATTTTTTATCATATTCTCTTACAATATTATTTCATTAACTTGGATTTTTATTCAAATATTTGTTCCGTTACCGAGCTCACTATTAAGTCCCCTACAAATATAAGCTTATATCAGAGATTTCAGGTAAAGCTTATCGTCAAATGAATGAACACCTACTTTTGAATCAGAAGAATACATAGCCTACGAAATTCGATAGTAAGAAAGTTTGAATTTCACCTTGTTATGAGGAAGCATTTATGTAGGCCACTGTCTTCTAAGGTTTACGGAAAGCATAAAGTAAGAGAGAGTTAACAAATGAACCTCTAATCACATTTCTTTTAGGTTAACCCACACATAACCATACAAAAATACATTCGGTAAGTAATTATGACATCTAGTTTTATAAGCAGATTATGTTGCTTTTTAGTAATATGTTGATCTTCATCTCGTTTATCCGCTGGTAAGTGGGGTAACTTTTAGAGTGTTCACAAGAATTCTACTTAATAAGCAACTGTGTACAAGTGTAGCACCACTATCATGTATACCTTGATGTATATCAACGAAAAGGTAGAAAGTTGTTTGGAACTCCCGTACGTCTTAGTGCTGACATCTATCAAAACTCACAGATTTACGTACAAAATTCAAATACAGTGCGGTAATTGAATGCTCACTTTTCAACATGTAAAGCTGAATTTGTCATTTATAAGTTATGGGACTCTCATTACAGTATGGTGTAGCATGAATGCTGAAAATCCTATACTGAATACGATGATTCACACCATTATTTCTGTGAATGAGATAAGCGTAATCGAAAAGGCAAAGTTTTCAGCACACACTCAAATAAATATACATATTTTACCGCTAGTTAAATTACCTCTATCCTCTAGTTTCAACAGATATTCATACACGATAACAAAATTGCAAGTGCTCAGTTCAGACTCAAGGGAGGATACTTTTTAATTGCCAGTGGACCTTGATGAAAGACAGGATCAGATGATAAAAACTATGCTACAAAGTCTGTTATGCACACATTCAGTTTATACTAGTTTTTTTAAGAAATTCACACATTCTTCTGCTGTAGACTGAACACAAATTTCAGGTATTTTTAAACCATCCACCCGAGAACTGCTACACTTTACTAAAACAAAGCACAACAACTGGATAGATAGCAGCAGAACTAATATCCAACAATTGTTCAGTGAGTTGTTGTCGATTCATTGCACTAACTAAGAGATAATATGCCTGTAAAAATCATTGGATAACACTGTAACCTTGAAAATTCTATATTCAATGGATGATTATAACAAAACGTATAATTATGTACAATATGTACAGCTTGAATAAGATAGAGGAAGTATGAAAGTACTAACATGATCCATAATTAATGTACAGTTTACCTGATTAGAAGGAAATACAATAACGAAAGTAAATGAAACAAAATTTTTTATGTATATGTATCACAGTATTTAAGTAGTGAAAACAATATTTCACAAACTAACGGCATACTACTTATTATCGTAAAAGTAACAACACTAAGTTATCTTAAAAATTAGAAGGAAAATTCAACTAACAAGATTACTTTTGCATTTACATGCACAATACTCAACAAAAAAATGAAAAGCACATGAGAGAGTGAGGGAAGAAGAAAGACTACGAACAGACTGTACAAGATAGAATCTGTAGAAATTCTAATTTGCATGAAATGAATAAAGAAGCATATGCTCCAAATTAATCCATACCTCTAAACGGGCTGGACAATGTGTAACATCTGGTCGACGATATGATGGACCCCAGCCTTTACCAAGACTAATATGTATAATTGGATTCCTATACAATAGACTACTATTATTAGTGTTTAACTCTTCGAAAAAGATGTTATTTCTATTGTTATTGTTGTTATTATTATTATTGGTAGTATGGATGCTCGAAAACGGTCGACAGGATGGAAAGTTAGATGATGTCGACGAAGATGAAGAGGAAGAGGAGGAAGAGGAAGAAGAAGAAGATGATGATGATGAGTGCCTGAGTAATAAGCTCTCGTATAATACAAGATCAAAAACCAATAATGAATAACCCGCCGGTACACGATATACCGGTAAATCCATACAAAAGTCATCAGCAGTTGCATTGTCCATCACCTGTAAACATGGTGATGATACAAATACGGGTAAATTTGTAGCCAATGCTTGATTATTCAACCAAACACAACCATAGGTGGTAAGTGTAAGTGATATACCCTGACTGCCTAGACGATAACACTGTTTCCATCCAGAGGATGGTTTATATAGTGAAGAATGCATTGTAATGTCTCTTAAAAGAGATTTGGTGCTGTATGAATCTAAATGCTGCTGCTGTTGTTGATGATGATGATGATTATGACAGCATTTCCTGCACTGTTTCAAAGACGACGTAACAGATCCTTTAGTATGTGTCGCGTTAATATCACTACTACGATTATGATCATTATTAGTAGTAGTTGTAGCAACAGAGACACTTGGTTTACTTCTCTTATTCGAATTCAGTTTAGAATTATACTTAGCATGAATTGATGCTTCATACACTGTTAAAAGAGACAAATATATACAATCATTTTGTAATTTATCATTATAGCGTGAATATTTTTCATTATGAACATGTTTCGGAGATAAGGATAGTTTATTGTTATCCTCATTATAAACAATATTCAACGTACGATTTGTTATATCATACCAACGACGTCCCATATGATGATGTGATTCCCAATAGGAGATGTTCGCCCATGGTTTTTGATGATGACGATGATGAACAGGCGGAGGAGATAGAGGAGAAAGAGGAACATTCCGTGGTGTATCAAGATGAGTATGGAAACAATCAAGGTTTTCATGAGGTATGCATAGATTCTCAACACCTTCATTTTTAACAGTGACGGGTAATGAAGGCATGTGATTAGAAAATGCTGAATATTTGAAGTCATCTAATTCAGAATTAACTAAAGATGTTTCTGTAGTAGTAGTAGTAGAGGTAGGATTTAAATTCTCTTCATCAGCTGATTGTAAAGAAGATGAACAGGAAGATGATATAAATTGGGTATTTGTGTATCCAGTGTTTAATTTAGACAAATTTGGATTAGGATGTGTTAAATTCGTACTGATTTTCCGTTGAAGTTTATAAAGCAGATGAGATGAACAATAATCTCTTTTAGCCTTTTCATAATTGTTAATCAGTAAAGCTGTTGATTTATCTGTCATTGTGTCAAACGATGTAACTACAAAGCAAAGTGGAAGTAAAAGTTACAAAAACATAATGAAAATTATGTCACGTTTTGTACTTTTTTTATTCTTTTACGTTCCCAGTGGAACATAGGGCTTCAAGCTAGAGGATTGAAGTTCCCGTAACAGTGGTGATTATTTTTACAGGATGGGGTTGCTAGCCGTATGCCCGACCTTCCCTCTTTACCAGTCTTATTACTGGCTTAGTTAGGTAAAAGAGTGCGTCAGCCCAGAATCGAACCCTGAACCACCTGTGTTGTTGGTGAGCATTCTACCACTGTGCCAACGATGCATGCTTTGCAAAATAAGACAAATTGAAAAAATATACATACATATTTGTAAATAATTTGAACTTGTGCGTTGGTGCTTCAATAGCAGAATACGCACCATGCGCCATACAAGTGTTCCGGGTTGAATTCCTCACCGATGCACTCTTAAATGTCACCACTTAGTTTACTCTGGCCAGTAATACTCCGGAAAAAGATGGAAGATTGTACATGAGGTTAGAAAACCATCCCCATGAAAACAGCGCCACTACGGCCACACATATGAAATACATACTTCCACTAATATTTTCATGTTAACCGTTGACTATTACAATATGAAGCCAGTTCCCTTGTTACAGAGACCATAATGTGATTTTTATTACTAAAGGAAAAGTTCACATAAGATTATATAATGCAATTAGTCTTGTGAATGAACAAGATTCGGATTTTCAACACTAATGTCAAGTCGGTCCTTATATACGGGTCAAAAACTTGCACTGCGTGTGAGTCACGAAAAGCATTTCCAACAGCCTACTACAGACTTTTACCTACCACTGCCTTCGTTGGCTCCATACTGAAGATCGAATGGCTGGCCAGAAAGAATTAGAAACGAGAAACTGTAGGAACGAACCAACGAAGAGCCGATCGCTTAACAAATATGTAGGAGAAAACGGAGATGGATCGAATAAACATTGAGGAAGACGTCGAATAACATCGCACGCCAGGTCATCCCAATGGGAAGCGACGAGTGGGCCATCCTAGAGTAACATGGAGGATATCGTGCGAGTGGGAGGAGATTAGAGATTATGGCCAATCGTGGACCCAGCTGAAGAGGACGGCAGAAAATAGAAGGAAGTGGAGATGTATTGTTGAAGCCGTATGTTCCACTCGGAACCCAAAGGAATAGTAATAATAATAATAGTCTTGTGAAAATACATCAATACTTTTATGACAATTATTAATCACAATTAAGATGATGTAAATTTTTTTTTACCTGAATCACACGTAGGATGCATGAAAATAGACGACACTTGTGTTGGCATCAAAGATGAGGTTGTTTCTGGTCCAGACGACGATGACGACGACGATGATGAAGATGACGACAACGAAGATGCTGTTGATAAAGGCGGCAGTTGTAGGGCTTTTTCAATATGACATGAATTGAGATTGGCGTCTTTTAAGTCAGATGCAGTAGAATCAGGACTAGAATGACTAATAGGATTTAATCCCAAGCAAACAATGTCTACAAAATACAAAAAGTAAATATGAATAGGTGACATTTTTACAAAAGGAAAAAAAACAGAAAGAACCATATGAGAATTTCAATAAAATATTTAAAAACAATTTAAATGATGTAATAGGTAATAGTAAGAATATATAACCTTTAAGAAAAAGTCGATAGATAACTAGTCTACTTAGAGAATGATACACCTTTCTGGAAAATAGAACAAATGCATAAGATGAAAGTTTACGGAGACTGTACTTTAACAAAAAATGAAGGTATTAGCGATAGTTGCATTTCATCACTGAGTTCGTCTGTATACATGCCAGGGTTGAATAAGTCAGCTCAATTAATCACTCGAAAAACAAATTAAGGCATGAAACATCGAATCAGAAAGTCGGTTGGAATAATTTTTCAGGTAGTAATTAACACAGTTCATCTTATTTTTCACTTTATAATTCCGTTAATCATATTTATTTATTAGGATATGTCGCCAGTTCATATCATCATTAAGAACCAGAAACAGCAAGCAATTAGAGATGCAAAAGGAACTAATAACATCCGTGATAATGATAAACGTGAATAGAAAGAAGTACATAAAGCAAAGAATGCAGAAGGGGAAATGCATACAACGGAGACGAGCTAGTGTCCGTATATTATAGCAATCAAATCTGGAACAAGTGCACAACAGTTTGTCGTAAATATTCATTTGATATAATAAGCTATGCGCCTCTGATAGAAATCAATGTAAAACAGGTTACAGGAGTGTTACTTCAGCAATTGCTAATGAGACGGAAATACTTCTACTTAATAAGAAGCATTTTGTGTAACAACATGAACACAATAAAGATAACTTTAGGATTTCATCATGAGCTGACATTAGTCAGAGAACCATTGGAAAACCTGGGAGTACTGGACAGCTGTTTCGTCCTAGTTTGGGTGCGTACTGCTGAAGAGTCCCAAACTAGAACTAGAGAAACAGCTGTCCAGTACTCCCAAGTTTTCCAATGGTTCTCTAACTAATGTTAGCTCATGATGAAATCCTGTAACCATTCAAATCCCTACAAACCAACACTTGAAAAGATAACTTTCTTTCACTATTAGTAATAATTATGATTGTTTTTTCAGTGGAACAAAAAGAGAGCGAACAGGAAATAGCAACTGATTCACACTCTCATGTCTATTTAACAACATCAACAACAAAAAAAGCGAAAACTTGAAACGAAGCAGTACACCCATGCACACACATGATATTCATTCTAGTGAATGCATTAAAATTGCACACATTCCGCCGGGTACACTTACACATACACGCACACATACATACACACACTTAGAGAGACTAAAAAGTAAGTAAAGAAATGACAACTGAAAGCATCATGAATGACAACACATTTGAAAGGACTGGCGCCAAAAGGAAGTAAAACCAGCCAACTACTGAGAGAGAAAAAAAAAACAACAACAAGATTTTTATCTTTAATTCATCAAATTCTAAAGGTCAACAAAAATAGAAATAATAATAATAATAACAGTCTGATAGACATAAACAATAATACTGATATTAATAATAATAACAATGATGATTATAACGAGAATCTCGCCCGTACACACCCACCACATCTAATCATATTGACGCCACTGATGAAAGTGGAATGAGAGGAAAAAAAAGACAAACGCCAGATAACAGAAGAATAAAACGAGACTCTACAGTTTATACACTGCCAAGCTTAGAAGATGTTGAAAGTCACTTGGAAAGTCTCAGGATAACTTTCTAGGTATATGTATAGTATATATATATATATATTCCCTAAGTGCTAATGTAGTTTTTCTCCTGTAACATTAATTGTGTAAGACAACAGAAATAGTGAAAAAGGAGAGGCGAAAGAAAAAGCTGGAAATATTGTAGGAAAGCATGGACGCCTACGCACACAAGCATATATATTTACATATGATTGAAGGTATAGAGAAAAGCACCAAGCAAAACATTATAATTATTCTATTCCAACTGACACCTTTAGTATCCATGCTCTTTTGCATTTATCATTATAATACCAACTTCTGTTGAATACACGGGCAAGTGCATGTGTTGTATTACCCAAAAAAGTGTCGGATCATTTGATGCAGTCAGATATATGCGTATATATATATATACATACGCATGTATCAAGTAAAAAAATAGTTGCAACATCATTTAAAAAAGGCGGAAAATAAATGGAATGTAAGAAAGGAAGAAGGAAAGAAAAGAAGATATACAAATGTGTCTACAACCATGATACATATTCATGAAAGGAACAGACAATAAAAAACAAGGAACATTTAAAACATAGTGAATAGCGTTAAGATTGAAGCTAATTGGAATCAAGAAGTCCGAAAAGAAGTTGAAAGTTCGATTAGTAATTATTATTAAACACGACCGAAATAGCACTCCATATCTCAACAGATTAATATGAATGGATGTAATCACTATAGCCTAAAGTGAATATATATGCTACTAAGAATAAGAAAAAAAAGTATTTGGACGAGTGAATCAAAGTACAAAAAAAAACGTGCACAGTAAAAACAACTTATGTCTAGTTACGTAAATCTTAGATATTAGAACCGTTTGAACCAAGTATAATGTAATTTTCGATAATACATGCATAAAGAATAGTGGACGGACTATTTATTGTAGTTATTTCTATCTGAGATAAGGTTTATACACAGCTAGATATAATTTTTGTTGCAACATAGCTCTGATATATTAAGATTCAATACTGCGAAATAATACAATACACAAGAAAACATTTACAAAAATAATGACACTAGTGAGAAAGAAAATGCGTCGGTGGCTCAAAGGTAGGACGGCCACCAACCAAGCACTTGGCCCGGGGTTCGATCCCCAGCTGACGCATTCCTTGACCTCACTAAGCCAGTAAATAAGACAGGTAAAGAGGGATCTTTGGGCATGAGGCTAGCAAACCCATCCCATAAAAGAAGTAAACACCACTGCTGCCGAAATTTAAGAACTCTAGCTTGAAGCCCTATGATCCGACGGGGACAAAAAAGAATAAAATATAAAAAAATAAAACAACAAACCACTGTTGCCCCTCTTATTTACTGGCTTAGTGAGGTCAAGGAGGGAGTCTGTCGGGAATCGAACCGTGAACCACATGCGTGGTTGGCAAACATTCTACCGCTGTGCCGTCGATGCCCATGTATATATATATATGTATATTGTTTAAGGGTGTGAAATATTTTTATATCATGAATAGAAACTCGGCTTCAACGAATAATATTCGTTTCAATAAATTCTCCTCAGGTGACAAAATAAATAGTACATGTGTGTGTGACAAACGTGTTGGGTTGAAAGGTAATTATAAAATATTGTAAAATGCGAGACGATGGTGCAGATTAGTCATAATAGATTCATGCAATATGGAGAAAAATTAACATTCCAATTCAAGGTTGTAAAAAGTGTCAGGTGAGTGAGTGGCTAGTACAAAGTAGTGTGCATTGAAGGGGAGATAGTAAGACTGCAGTGAATAGTTCATTATGAAATAACCAATAAGTGAAATGAAACAGGTGCAAGGATATATTGAGAATAGAGATGTGGTGAGAGCTGTCTACTAACCAAATTAGTAGACAGTAATTTACGTCAATATTTACGTTCCCAAGATTTGTCTTGAGAAAATGTGAACAAAGATTGATTCAAAACCGACCACAGCAGACTTTGCGTAGGCGGATGCAGTTAACATATAGAGGATTTGACAGTCAAGAAACAGTCACAAATAGATGAAAGATTAACTTTACGTGAGAAACAACCAATCGGAAGACTGTGTTTGTTTGCTTAAATATCCATAGTAATGTACATGAAAATATATAAATATGCGTTGATTTCCTTAATAAATGATCTGTTGCCTGACTCTTGCCTTCTGTTGTTACAGAGATAATATCACTAATAATAAGTCCGAATAGTATATATAAAAAATTCGATACTATTGAAAGAATACTAGAATGCACAGTATAAATCATAAAAAACATTGTGGTTAAAACTATTAGGACAAAGATAAAAGGACACAAAGAAAAATACACGAAACAAAAGAAAAGGTGAAAAGACCATCTTGGAAAGGAGAAATTTCATCTAAGTTTAGCCACCGTAGGAACAGCACTTGAACGGGTTATATTTTGAAAAGAAAGTTCGATCTTCAATTGTGTGTAGAAGAAATAGGCGAACTGTGGCGTGATAATGACTTCGGAATATGGTATGTAACCCTGATGGCTCTGTTGGCTCTGTCAATACGATGTCCTGTATCATTCACCTAGTGTGATAGAATTGAAACTTGTATACCATTTGATTTCATCTTTTCTGAACTGAACTTTGGTGATTTTTAAACAATGTGTTGCGAAGATTCTACTCACCGATAACTAAACCCTTCCAAAAAATTAATCTATATTATTTAAAATAAACCAGTGTATTCTACAGTGATGTTCATGTTTTGGGCCTACAATTCAAGGCTATTATTATTAATCTCCAGGATAGACTGCACACTGTCGTCAAGAATATTTCACAATCTATAGTTTCCCTCAGATGTGGGAAATTTACCTGAATTACCTACACGAATTACAACTTGCTTAGTAGATCTAAGAAACATAAATTATATATTTATATATATATATTCATGTGTTTCTGGAGTGTAGCCTACCGTAGCCTAAAATATTTCCAGTATGATTATAGAAAGATAAGAAAATTTACAATAATAATAATAATAACCATTAAATATCATCGAGGTAGACCAAAATGCGGAAAACAATTCACAAAGAAAATTGATGTGATTTGTGAAAATCAAAATATACCCAATTTTATGTACTTTAATTTTAACAGAGCAATGAAATATTTAGAGAGAATGCCAAAAAACAATTTCATCATATACACACGTGGCTGGTTGGCTAGCTAGCTAGCTGGAAAGGAGGCTCCATAACATTTCCACACAACAACAACAACAACAAAACGCTTATCACTGTATGTATTTCTCTGTCAGTCG